AACACGAATCATGAAAGATAATAGTCAACGCAAAATCATTCGTCTAGCAACAGTAAAATCATTTGTCTAGCAATAGTGAATTTATTTTCTGAAAGAAATAATTACTTACGATAATGTCTAATCTTAGAGATAGAATTCTAAAGATATACTTAAGTAGTATAATAAATCGGTGGCCTCATCACTAAGCATCGACACTACAGAGCACCTATTGTCATGGTGAGGGAGCGCAGCCGCCTCGCGAAGAAAACCGCTGACAGAGCTTATGGAGAAATCAAAAAGTTGATTCATCGATTTATCTTGTAGGAATCTTTTGTTATGAAGCTTGAATCGATATTTGATATGGACTATGACAAAGATCATTAATGAGACAATTGTTGAAGGGAATAACCAGACGGAGGAGGCAAAGTTCAACTTCTTTGTACGGTACACACTCTTGGATTTCATTGCAAACTTCAAATACAGATTACCAAGGGTCCTAGATCGCGATATGTCTGAGCAAACATTTATCGTCGAATGCTTATCCCCTATATTCTGAGCATTTCGAAACGTGTTTCCAGACATTAAGTACGAATGGATTGAGAAGGATGTCACTTCGATAAAAGAGGTAATAAGATGATATCAGCCCGTGAAAGATGGATTTACTTGTTCTATGTTTGTCTGAATTTTGAGCACATAATTATAAATTAATTATGTGGGGCTTAATATTAATTCGGTCTTAATTGTACAACTATCGTAGCAAGGGTAAGATAAATCGCTCTCCCAAACTCCCATTTTATCCCAATGGTTGCTGCCCTCTACAAAATGAAAATGTAAAAGTTTGTGTTGCATCCATTGTTGGGCTCCTTACTATTACATTTGAGACCATTACACACCTCACTAACTACTGTAGCCCCTTTGTCTTTTGTATACTATACTATTAACTGGAGACTCTGGTCTGGGATTGGAGTATGAATTGGAACTTGGGTATAGATCTTCTGCCCAGTGCATCGGTCTGCTGGGTCTACTGCCATGTGTGACTCAGTCTCTATGTCTTCATCATTGGTATGGGCCTTTGTTATTTGCCTGCATGCTTCTTGGATCTGTTCTTCCATCAGTATAACCAAGCCACCTGATCTGCTACCAACTCGTGGTTCACCTCAGGTAAGTAGGAATCGGTAATATCCCTGCTCCAAATCTGCTGTATCTCGGCCAAACTCCACCGAGCAATGATATACCTCCTCGTACAGTGTGTTGCGAAAAAAAATGGCGCGTAAATTAAAAAACTAGTAACAAAAGACAAATGCGTTTGTTTACATGGTTTCTATACTTATATAGGTTTATTACTTTCAATTAATCACATTTGCCACCCTTTTCCTTGACTCCTTTCTCACTTGAACCTTGTAAAAATGGTCAACACAAATCTCGAAGCACAGCGTCAAACAATTTTATATTGTTAGCTAAATGGAATTCGTTCTGCCAAAAAAATATACCAAAATACGAAGATTCCCCCTCGAACTATTCAAAACAACAAGGGTGGTAATGGCCGTTCGCCCAAGATTACAAAGCATATCCCGTTCGATCAGACAATTAGCTCGCCGTAATTCAGCCATGACAACTCGTCGTATCTATTTTACATACTAATATTTGACAACACATGAAGAAAAATGGATAAAAGCGCCAGACCACTTGCCCTCCAATGCTTACCAGTAATCATATACTGATGTTCGAAAAGCATGGACACAAGCTCATTTGAATAATAACTGGAATCACACTATTTTTACAGATGAACGGCCTTTGACTTGTTTCATAACAAAGTCACAAGAAGATATTGGCGAGTTAAAGCAATTTATGGTAGTAAAATTCCTCAGGATGTTGTACAAACTTTAAAGTAGTTATAAGCTTTAGAATAAGTCCACTTTCATTTGTCTCTGTTGGGTAATTGTTGACATATACAAGTTTATTTGATGGTATGAGTTAAGTTCCGTACCATTCTCTTCCAGTCGTTCACTTGTTGTTGATACATGACGATTTCGACTCGAGTATTCGTGGTAATATAATTGATAATATTCTCGGAGTGTCTAATGTGGAGTCCGTCTTGGTTAAAGATTGTTCGATCACTCCCCGCACGACAGTTTAATAGCAGCCCGGTGGAGATCGTCTTAACTAATAAATAATATTTTCTAATATTAGAACCAACTTGCATCCAACTAAGCAGTGTAACATCCACTAACCATTCTCGGCGTGGGGCACCAGGTCAGGGAAACCGTCTCCAAGATCACGTTGTTAACAATTCAAATATACAATAAATAGCTCGTTTCACAAGTCTTGTATTTGTTTTTCTTACACGCGCTTCTTACGTGAACAGTCAATATGGTCAAAATGCGAAGCAAACGAGGTAGGCAAGGAGGTAATCAATTAGATAGTTTTCATTTCTGCCCTCGCCTCATTGACCCACATGCTAATTCCATACCCTACTTTATTTATATAGTTCCCAAGGCGCCTACCCAGCCTCGGGCCAAGAGAGTGAAAACAGCATCGACCAAATTTTCACCGCTGCCTGGCCCAGAAACATACCCTACTAAAAAGAAAATTGCTTTCGTCATGGGTACTGGAGATTGTGCTCAGTTGGGATTAGGAGAAGGCTGTTTAAAACGCAAGAAGCCAATGCCGATAAGAAGTTTAGAGGACAAGAACATCGTATATATTGCCACCGCTTGCCTTCATAACGTAGCTGTAACAGAAGATGGAAAGGTTAGAAAATAGTACATAACGCTCTTGTTGGGAACACAAGTCGATTAATGCGTAATTATGGACATTTAGGTTTATTCGTGGGGGTGTAATGATCACGGAGCTCTTGGAAGGACAACGAACGAGTCTGATGAATATGAGCCAGGCTTGGTAGAAGGATTGGATGGAGTCAAAATCATAAAAGCAGTTTGTGGCGGAAATATAACTTTGGTTTTGTCCGATGAAGGACGAGTTTATGCTGCTGGAACTTTCAAAGTAGGTATAATGTTTGTCGCAATTACAAGATTTATATCATTTAATGTTACTCACGGATTATCTGATTCACAAGATGGAGGCAGGTTCTTTTCTTGGCTTCAGTCCGGAACTGGCACGCCAACAACAAAAGAAATTCGTGCCTCTCAAGTATCTCGAACGTACCCGTATCGTTGATATTGGTGCTGGCTCAAATCATGCTATTGCTCTCTCTCAAGACGGCCTTGTTTACTCATGGGGTTTGGGTGACCATTCTCAGCTTGGTCGACGCATTTCAGTCAGACGTCCTGATTCTTGGATATATGCAGATAAAGTTGCGGGATTATCTGATATTAAGAAAATTGCGTGTGCGGCCTATCATAACTTTGCCATCGACGGTGATAAAAATGTTTATGTCTGGGGATTGAATAATATGTATCAGTGTGGATTAAATGTAGAAGGAGAAATACAATATCCAACAACGATAGAGTTCTTTGAGAACAAGAATGTAGAGCAAATAGCGGCTGGAGAACATCATTCAGCGTTTTTATTAGAAAATGGGGACGTCTACACGGTTGGGCGAGGCGATGCTGGACAGCTTGGCATTGGAAGTCTCGCAGTAAGTAGCGACACTGTTGAAAAGAAGAAGGAGGTTGAGGCAAAGGTGGAAGATCTTAAAGACGGGGAGAAAGCCAATGGGACTTGTAAGTTATCGGCTCATGCATTCGGCTTTATTATGTCAAAGGATACGAATACATTGTATCTGTATCTTGTCTTTTCATGTTTTTAAGTTTCTGTTCTTACACTGCTGTCAATCCTTTCTTGCCATTTACTATAGCGATGTCCAGTAAAACAGCCGTATCCATACCGAGACGAGTAAGTGGCCTCCCACCATGCAAGGCCATTGCTTGTGGTGATTTCCATACATTAGCTCTGAGCCGGGACGGCAAAGTCTACACATGGGGAAGCGGGATTACATACGCGCTTGGGAACGGCCGTTCGATAAGTGAAGACGATGATACTGGCGCCGATGAGCTGGTCCCTTATGAACTTACCGGACAGAAAATCATCGGTGTTGAAATAGTGGCTGTCGGCGGTGGCTCACAGCACTCGCTCTTGCTCGGTATGCAAGACCGGACGGAGACGAGCTCCTAAGGACAATGTCTGGTAGGATAGATGTTCAATAAAGACACAATCTGAATGCTACATGATACATTGTTACTTGCCGCATTGTCATTTTGTCTTTTTGTATAGTTTAAGATTTCATTTATTGAAAATTGCCAATAATATAGATGATTGTTTATTTTTCCAATTTAGACGGTGGACGCTGTTATTGCATCGTAGGTTACTATTCAGTAATTGGTGTTTGTCCTTGTAAGTGACATTTGGTCTGTGTGTAAACGTAATTAATATCTTAAATAGGATGATTATAGTTACTGACTTTTACTGAGGCATGGATTGTTCTACCTAGTCTCGGTCACGCAATAAAATAATAAGATATTATTCTCAATGTAATAATTCTATGCCATAGCTTGCGAATCGTATTTCTGGATGCATCTTCAGAGACGGCCTACGCGGTACATTGGGCTCGTATCAAGATAGACAATGTATTGTAATTACTAAAATTGCTAAAAATGTGTCTCGTAGAGCTGCTGCAGCTATCCCGTGTTACCATCGATGAATATCAAAAAGTTACGATCTTCGGAATTTCCGTACACAGAATGCAATGCCCCCATTATTATTCACCTTGCTAAACAACGAGATATCCTTGCGCCTGGGTCGACTAAGCCTAGCGTCAAAGATCCTAGATACTCCAAACTGTATCCTAAATACCGTTAGAGGATCTGTATTACATTTGACGCCCGACAACTTGCGTTTATTGCCTTTCCAGGCTGTTGGGATAACTCTGGAGCAGTTGTAAGTGTTAGCGTAAACCCGTTCTGTAAAAAAAGGGGGGACTCGATTTAATTTAAAGATATCCACAAGTCTAGATGTGCAGCCACCAGCTTCAACAAAGTTTCCCGGAGGCGCACATGAATTTTTCAACTTTCAAGAGTACCTGTTGTACGTTGATATACACGATCCAGCTAAACAAATCAAGGCTAGAGTTAATTCTGATAAATTCATCTCGGTACGGACACATCAAGGGATAAGACAAGTGAGTCATGTTTTGTGTTAAAAGAGTTTACTTGTTTTGCTATCGATTACTTGAACTAACTATCCTTCCATAAGCTTACATTGGCAGACTATCTGTCTTATATGAATGCATATAAACCCGATTTTTTTGCAGCATTTTCTGATTCATTAATACAAAAGAATCATGGCGACAAGCGTGTCCAGAAGTCGATTGATCGAACGCTTAAATGGCTGGACGATACACTAGATCGAGTTGAAGTATGTTGACGTTTTGTCTGCTGCTCAAGATACCACCATAATATCCCATTCATTTGGATTCAATCTACCATTTGATGCAGGAAGATACAAATGTTTTTGGTGTGTTAGGGGGACATGGTATTCGCGAAGAAAGGGTAAGGTCGGCACACGAGACGGCAAAAAGAAAGGTTGCAGGTTCGTACATTCGTTTGAATATACGGGTCTAATAAATGTATTACACGATCGCTATTCTAATGATATATGCTGCTTATTTAGGTTTTTTATTGAATGTCTCTGAGATCGGAGACACTTCCGAAGAACGATTGGATTTGTTGAGAACTTCGCTCAGCCACCTACCGCAAGAAAAGCCGCGTCTTGTATATGGTCTTGGGACTCCCGGTATTTGATCCACAGACTGAACAAATTTATTTGCGTAAATATTCTTAGTAACGAGTTTGCCAATGTTTTTTTTTAAAGGGGACATCTTACGAGCGGTTTCTGAAGGAGCTGATCTATTTGATACTAGCTATCCTTCAGAGATGGCTAACAACGGACACGCGTTTACTTTCAAGTTTGCTACGGACAGTAATGCTTCGGACATGACGCTATCGATGAATTTGTGGGACAAATCGTTTGCAAGAGACTTTCAACCATTTGTGCCCTCTTGCGAGTGTCATGCATGTCAGAACTATACTAGAGCTTATACACATCATTTATTGATAGCACACGAGATGTTGGCGAACGTGCTTCTAATAAGGTCAGTTACCGAGCAGCAAGTTGATTCCCTTTGACGCGATAAACTATTCTGACATTTAAACAGCCATAATTTATTCGTGTATGGACGGTTCTTTGAGAGGATAAGGAACAGCATTAAAATGAAGACATTTGATGAAGATATGCGACAATTTTTACATCGGTATGAGGGACAAGCTCAAATTGAACACTCTATGGAACGCGACACGGAACCGAAAACGAAAGAGCTGATTATTAATTGATATGGGATTGATTAATAATAGAAATTAGAGCATATTGCCAAATAAAAGGGTGTGGGTTTGCATAATTTTATAATTCTGCAAAGAATTCGAGTTGCGTGCTATTTAGACTGTATATAATCACTGCAGTCGTTTTGTATTTGGGAAGGGAAGGGAAACAAAATATTATATTTAATACACATTTTACTTACTACATTGGGGCATGTTGCAAAGCAAGAAATAATGTGAGCATAGTTCCACTGTGATCCTGCCACACTGTCGGTAAAAATGAACAAATCTATCATCCAGAATTATTGAAACAAACTCACTTCTGGGAAGGTTTCCTTGCAGACGCGTCTAATTAAACCGCCCTTCAACCAAAAATTCTTGCTAGTTGCTCGATTTTTATTGTTTAAATAGGTTTGGCAATAGTAGTATAAAAAAAATCAGGTACGGTTTACTTAATTCTTGATTGGGAATCTATAAAGTGCAATAAGATTACTACCAGCCACAAATTAGTTATTAATAAACGAGCTACAAAGAAAGCCGTTCTTGCTTCTACGGCAAGAATTCTCTATCGGGAATTGAAAAAATGAATGTAAGAAATAAAATCAATGGCTCCCATTCAATCACCTTGTCTGTGATAGTTGTGCTTATAGAGAAGACTGCTATTTAATGATGTCTGATTATTGACATTGCATTGTTATAAACGACTATTAAGAGAAAGAAACAATGAGCACTCTCATTGACCCCTGAAATCTTGTTTGTGGCGTCAATATTCACTTCTTTTACATCTTTCAAAAATGCCTAAAGAACCAAAACAAAGACAGGATGATAATATCCCCCCACCACCACAAAACAATGTAAGTATTGGCACACAATCTCTAAAATTGATTAATATGCAGTGATCAATAATGGCGCTGCGATTGTTCGATTGTAGCCACGCCAATGTCATTTCTGGGTGAAGCGAAAGAGGTAAGCAGATGAGAATGTCAATCATGGATATAGTAAATACTGATAGTTAACAACAAGCATTCTGACATGCGTCCCTCTTTTTGAGACGATATTGTCATCTTCCGACAAAATTAGGAAACAAATTCTGTGGTGAACATTTGATTTGTGATCAAGAAGAAGGAAAGAGAAGAAGAATTCCATGTCCATACGATCGATCACAGTAAGTGAGATGATAACTGCACAAATTTTATTATATGATGACTTCCATTATTCACATACTTTCGTCATATAATAAATAGCACGGTATATGAGGACGAGTTACAAACGCATCTGAGAAAATGTAACGCAAGACCTCTTCCTAAACAACCTTACTTCTCTCTCGATATTAACTGTACACTGGCATCATCCGATTCACACGTAAAAATTGCACTATCAGAGCTTCCAAAGGAAGAACTTGACACTTTGATCAAGAAGATCGAGCAATGGTACGACTTGCTCGTGCCCGAGATACAAACATCTATCTTGGATCACCCAGTGCTGCAAAAAAAGATGTGAGTTTTTACACGGAAGTTGGGATATGAATTGCAAGAGGAACCAAGAATTGTGTGAAACTTAATTGTTGTTGTTTTATAGGGAAACATTGAAGAATGCAAAGCATGCTATTCAGCAGGTGAGATGAATGGCTAGCCCTTTTCCCCTTTCCCTTTTCCCCTTTCCCTTTTCCCTTTTCCTTTATTTACGATTATCTGATACGAACCTATCAAAGGCGTCTCTTCTGGGACACATGGAAAAATTGTCACTATTGCCAAAGGACGGCTGCTTTATTGAATTCGGTGCTGGTAAAGGTGAGCTTATAACCCCACTTATTATTTATATCAGTACAAATATTAACTTGTATTATTTGTAGGAGAATTATCGAGATTTGTTCAGGCAGCGGTTGCTGATGATGGCAGTGCAGCGTTTATTCTAGTTGATAGAAAGAATATGCGCTTAAAGGTGAATACAAATTTATTGGCTATATACAAAAGTCAAAGTATTTAAAACATGAATTTTTTATCCTCTAGTTTGATTCCAACATTCGAGCTGCTTCCGATTCATCGGCTGTAAGGCGTATATGGAGTGACATTAAAGATTTAGACTTGTCAAAGATTGATTTAATCGAAAACAAGAACGTAATCGCGTTTTCCAAACACTTGTGTGGATCCGCGACGGATGTCACTCTTAAAGCACTGGTCAATCTTGCAAAGTCTACAAACCACGGGTAAAAGAAAAAAGAAAGAAATTTGTGCATAATGATACGAGTTTGTTGGGCTTTATCATTCGTCCTTACCCCCCTCGGTTTCATTATTACGTCAAGCTCCAATAATCCAGTCACGGGCATTTTAATCGCATTGTGCTGTCATCAATTATGTCGATATTACATGTATCCATATCAAGAATATCTCAACGAGACTGGCATAACACCAAGGGATTTCGCGTGCATGTGTGCAATGAGTAGCTGGGCTATCTGCGGACAGCGGTCAAAGAACGACGGAGATGGAGATGACGACCATGATTACAATGATCGAGATTGTGTTTATGAGGACGACAATATCGGGTGAGTGGAGCAAATAAATTAATGCATGGAAATTCTGTTTTCGTGAGTTAATACTAAACTAACAATTAATCTCTCATCAAACAGAGCACATTATTCTGGACTAGGACATTCAGAGAGAGAGATTTTGGGATACAAATGTAAAAGAATATTAGATATGGGAAGAGTGAGGTATCTTGAAGCCAATGGATTTCAATCATATCTGGTGTATTATGTGGATTCACTCGTTTCTCTTGAGAATGTGGCTCTGCTAGCAATACAACAATGACGAGATTGTACAAAAAATATATATAAATAATAAATAACTAGAGCTCAAGAGAGCTCGAAATCTTTATTCTATAATTTCATATATAAAAATAAAACAGACTGATAGTTTATATATACAGGTGTGATTCGTTTTTTTTTCAACACAAACCGTTGGTTATACATATCTCTACAAACATCTACCTTCTCACTGATATATCCCTCATACTAGTAATTTTTTGTACAGAATTATACAGGCCGACCCAGCTCGTTAGGTCTACGACTTTTATCTACATCACTCATTCTACGCTTACCCACGAGGGTAACCTTCGGCACAGCTAAAGTCCAACGTCGTCGTAGCAAGTTCTTTACTCCATTCTTCTTTTCGTTTTCACCATCATCGTTATTTGTAGGACTACTATTGGTACTGGACTGCCGGCGATGCCTACCGACATTAGTAGACATTGACAAGGAGCCGCCACTCTTGCAAATTTCGTATAATTGTTTGGCCATGTCCTTGTATCCAAAGTCTGTGGCAATTTTCACTGCTAGCATGTCGTTCCGCCGGGGATCTGCTTTATGAGCAAGCAAAAGCCGCGTTAATTCCCAATGGTTATTGGTTACGCACAGACATAGAGGCCGTCCATTATCGGCGTTAGCATCCGCTCCCGATTTCAGAAACAGCTCTATCAACTTCCATCTGGCACTCTTGTTCTCCTCCTCTGTATAAGCCAAGTAGCATTGTATGGTAAATTCGAGAAGACTAGTCGAACCGAATTTTGCCGGTTCGCCTTTATGGCTCGACGGCGATATGTTTATTTCGGCGCCATTCTCTATAGCCAGTCTAGCTGCTTCGACATCAGCTTTTTCGATGCAAAGTCGTAAGTAGAGAGGATTCCTTTTTTGAATTTCTCCCAGGCCACGTTCAAAGGCCCATCCAATTCCCTTTGTGTATTGCTTGTCAACACTTTCCTCTAATATATCAAGGGTATGTTGTGGATGGTAAGCAAGCGCTGTTGCAACATCTAGTCGTTCATGTAATACGATTGCAAATGCAAGTTCTGTATCTGAAAAGAAGCTTGGTCTATTTGCGAGCTCCTGTCGCAAGTTTAGAGACTTGTAACCAGCGTCTTTCACTAACGACAGGTAATCCTTTTCTAATTTTCCTTCAGGGAATGATCCATTGTCTGTTAACTCGCAGTCTTTTAATGTATGAGCGGTAATGTATCTATCTATCTTAACACCTCTACTGATTAGATAAGGTATGAGCTTCCCACTGGTTGGATGGGCAAATGCTGCATCGAACAGCCTTGTAACACTTCCGTCATATGAAGACTGCAGCCTTCGCTTTCCTAGAACTTGCAAGTCAATAATCTCCATCAAGATGTTGAATGGAGTCTTTGTATCTACTGCTTGACATAGTTGAGAATAAGACGGCATGAAAGATTTCGGTAGTTCAGGATGTAGCCAATACCTAATCCAACTTCTTTTGAAGCTTTTGGACGTAACAACGATAGCACGAAACAGTCGGCATACTCCAGCTACTCTTCTGGGAACGGGGAGACAAATGAATATGGATTCGAGGATTTCGGGGAGTAGGTTATATAGCGATGGCCGGGGCAAAGTAGATTCGCCAATGGAAAGCTCTGAGAGAGCTTGGACAAAGTTATAGTCAATGTCACTTTCAATATAAGGTTCGTAGTAATCACTGGACTCTGAAGCACTTCTTGTAGTCCTGTTGTTTATTTGTAATGAAAAAGACTCCATTTCTTTCGGTAAAGAAAAAAAGTAAAACGTGAGAAACGCTTATAAGTGACTCGGAATATTTATTTATTGTATAATCAAATTTGGGTGACATTCGTGTTTGGGGGGTCACCTGTTATCCAAATATGAAAAAGTAAATGACAGCATCTGCCATATTTTCACATTAGCTAATCCCTTCCCAAGTTTCGTATTGTTATATCATATTGATATTTTGCTTCTTTTGCATTTATACAGGAACATGTCTAATTATAGAAATGATGATCGGAACAATTTTGAGCTTATTATCATTTAGGGCCGGATGAATTCTTATTTCTGGGATCGGCAGCCGAAGAGTCCGATACCGATAATGGTGTGAAAATGCTTTAAGGAAAACCAGGCCCATATCTGAGTGGGTCTTCATTTGCATGCTTAATAACATCATATTGGCATTTTTTGATCTGTTTTCGAAACATTGTTGATGAAACTCGGCTTGTGGCGACGCTTTCTAACGTAACACGCATAGACATTGTCACAACTCACATGAATATGAATTATTTCGAGTGTTTCAAGACGTCAATTATATTTAAAACGCTAAAACTGATAGTGATCAGAATTAGAATGTATATTTTGATAATAAAACGGATAGGAGAAATGTAACCTGCTTGGCTTGTATAACAAACAATGATAACGACATCACTTATCGTCAATGGGATGACATATCCCAACCTTATAACCACACGTGGTGGTACATACGCCCAACCATAGAAAGTGACTCAAGATATTAATATCTGCTGGTAATATTAATATACATGCATTTATGAATATGAACTCATCTTATTCACAGTAGAAGTCTAAAGAATAATTACAATGTGGGGCCCTGCGTTAACACTAATGAAATTTAATCCTCATATCGTTTGACTGTGAAAACTTTGTAATCGTAATTTCAAGCTAAAACTCTTTCAGAACGAGGGTTAATATGTGCGGACATCAATTAAAAAGCATAAATACTTGGATAAGACTATACCGGGAGGCAGTAATATTATTATCAAGAAACAATCGGCTAACGTTCTCAATTAGCGCAAGTATTTCATACCTGTGAAACTCATACTTTATTGGCAAGTTATATGAATGTGCAACGTGCATTTATGTTTTTATTCGACGCTTGCAGAGCGTAGTATGCCTTGTCTCCCTGAAGGGATTTGTTGCATGGATATGCGTCTAGACTTGAATTAATATCATATGGAGGAAATACGAAACTCGCATACCACTGTCAAATCGACACAATTATTTTTCAATTTACATTTTCTAGTACATAAATTACATGCAGATTAAAGGTAGTTCTTCAAGATTTCCTATGCAGTTAAGACCCTTACTTAGTAATTCTTATACGTTAACAGATATCTTGTCGGAACTACATATCAAAATTTGTTGACTGGGTATACAACTAGGCAGTCGTGATAATTATTATTCAAATTAACGATCACCTTTGTTTATTAATTTAAATAATGCAAATAGCAAAACAATTATCGTTTTAACAACCTTTACACTCGAACGATGGTAAAAACAATCAAGAATGAGAGAACTCAGGCTTCTTACGGTAAACACATACTCCTACCATATTAATTGTACACATAAACATCAATATTAGCCATCTCTATGTTCCATCGCTGGACTGCAAATATTCTCAGATTTCTAGCTTTGAAATATAGTCTTACTACTAATTGCACCTGTGAAAGTAGTTACAGTAATTGTTCTCTTTTACGGAAACAATTATGCTTTGTCTTAATATTAACATGTTGTCACACGAAAACTCCTTACTGCGTAAAAGATGCAAATAATCATGCTAAATAATGTGCTTATCTTTTGTCATCGTCGATTATCAGTGGATGCGACACGCATATTTGTCATAGCATACCTATATATAGTCAGACACAACTTGACCACTTTTCTCCAACACGCATGTATCGCTCACTACAAACGCACCCTCTTCAACTCGGTTCACAAAAAGCAGACTCTCCGCTTCTCACAGCGAAGATATTGTCATGGAAGAGTTTGAGACGGAGAATTATTATAATATTAATTTACCAGTTGAATAACTCACCCCCCCCTTTCTTATTCGAGTAGCTTCTCAATAACAAAAATTATAATGGTAACAGTATTTATCAAGTTATTTATATGTTCGCCGACTTTTTAAACAAACCAGTTAACCAATTATATTTATGGTTAGACAAATCAACCTTCCCTTCCTCCCAAAGTTTTCAAGTAGCTTCTCTATATGACGAGTGGTGATTGTAAGCATATTTATTAAGCTACAAACCACAAAAGCTCACGCTTTTTTTGTCGGTAACGGTTTTCGATTAATTTGCACTCCGCGCGGGATCTTTGCACATCGGGCATGCGCGCTCACTGTATATGTCGCTGATCTTTGTTAGCATAAACAGGCCGCTAATTTTTGTAATATTTATTTATGGTACCTTGCATCAAACAATTTACCTCTTAACAAGTCATTGAACCGGCTATCTATAAAAATATTGCACCGGTAGTCGAACTATTCTTTCTGTCTGGTCTGATATTCCAGCGCCCGCTAAATATCAATCCAACTTCCGGCTGGCTTATCCAGCTCCCTAAGCAATAGACACATTTATTCAGCAACAACAACGCACCAGAATAAATTTATTATTATAACAACAATTAATAATAATTCTTAGTCGAAAAGTGTATTAATTAAAAAAGACACGACGCATCTAATTAAGGAATTCTTTGTACCCAATCAATAATCGTAGACGATAATTTTTAATTAATATATATCACTACAGGTCGTAGTATTTTATTTAACATAAATATTATGATATATTATTTACAACATTTTTTAATACATTTCCAACACACCCTTGCAGACAAAAAGAAAATGTCTTTACAATATGCAAATTAAACTCGTCGATCGAAATAAAACACTGCTAAACAATGAAGTGAAAAGAAATATATTGACACGTCTACTCATAAAACTTGACGCCCGCCTTTATTTTATGCTGTGAGATTTGAGTAACATTCACGCACAAACCTTGCGAGTCAATATAAGTGTCCGTTAACAATTAACATTTTATATTTTAAACCGTCACAGTATTAGTATCCCCAAGCCATTCCGTCCTTATCCTCAAGTCACTCCGTCCGCATCTCCAGGCCATCTCCCAGGTCTTTCCGGCAGTCAAGCAGCCCCGAGCTGTTCTGTCCGCATTTCCAGGCTATCGCCCAGGTTTTGCCGGCGGTCAAACAGCCCGGAGCTGTTTTGCGTGCTGATTTATTTGTGTTATTTTATAAATTTTTAAATCATCCTCCGTAAATGGGTACTCTAGCGAGTGTAAGTTAAAGCTACGTCCATCCTCTCCCCAAAAAGCCGAAGGTTTATCTTTACCGCCGCCTGGTATTCTTTTACTAGTTTGTCAAATCGGCGGCGGTACTCCCGGACATTTGCCCGTGCTGTAATTTGGCTTGTGCGGATAATTAAAATTATTTTCTCCGGCTTATCTTTACCGCCGCCTGGTATTCTTTTACTAGTTTGTCAAATCGGCGGCGGTACTCCCGGACATTTGCCCGTGCTGTAATTTGGCTTGTGTGGATAATTAAAATTATTTTCTCCGGCTTATCTTTACCGCCGCCTGGTATTCTTTGACCAGTTTGTTAAATCGGCGGCGGTACTCCCGGACATTTGCCCGTACTGTGGTTTGGCTTGTGTGGATAATTAGCCATCAGTTTAGGTTCCGATGATGCAATGTGTTGTTGGTAAATTAAAAAACCCTTCCGCCAATGCGTGGTTTAATGAGAACGCCAATAATGTTAATGGCGGATTTGCGAGCCGGTCGCGCTCGTCTTCGGTAATCCCCTGACCTCGCTGGTTTCGGTATTCCATCTTTGAGAGGCACGCTTTATAATCCAAGAGCTGCACAACATGTCGTTGGTAAATGAAAAATAAACTTAATTCTCTTCTGCCAGCGCGTGGTTTAATGAGACGTTTGATGCACACAGACAATGTTAATGGTGGGTTTTCGAGCCGGTCGCGCTCGTCTCCGGTAAGGTCGATATAATACAGGTACGTTTCCATTATAATAGATGTGTTCGAATATGTTAACTTTGAGTGAGAAAATTTATATGAAGTTCAAATCCTGGCGCAGTGTATATTAATGAATGCTTTCTGTCGAATATGTTGACTTTGAGTGTCAGACGGAAAGTGAGAAGATTTATATATGAAGTTCAAATCCTGGCGCAGTATAAATTAATATATAAGCACAATCGTTACACCATTACTATAGATATTTAAATGGAAAGTGGGCTGATATCAGAGACACCAGTAACCTTCGAACTGAAAGCTTTCAAACAAGAAAAAGCTTGATTTTTGTATGCGTGATCGTAATAAATGGTCAAATGTATGACTATCATTTTGCCAAGTTAATTTATTTTTTGATTATCATCTCAACAATGATGCATCATACATCACTTTTGTTACACTGATCTCCAATTGAATGTTCTTTATCAAAGTTATAAAAATTTGAAACTGAAAAAGTTCACTGTGATACATTATTTGTTAATAGTTTATCTCTCATACTAATACTAATATAAATATTCAGTTATCACTTGTATTACTACTACTACTATCATTAACGCCTCCAGCTCCCAAAATTGGCAGTATGGTGAGGTCCCAATGATTTTCAGAATTTTCCTTTCTAAATTTTTCTATTTCTTCTCGCATGCTATCAAGTACATCTGCATTAACCGGATAATTCTTAAATAGGTCCTAATTGATATAAATGTTAATATGAAATTCATACTTTGAGTTTGTGCATTAAGACATGTGCACTTACTATTATCTGTTGGGTAAGCTGTCCAGCATCTTTAAACACCAATCCATTCTTTTTATGCTTGACTAATTCATTGAGGCTGAAGACCAAAAAAAAAAAAAAATAAAAAATAAAAAATAAAAATCCCCACATATTAATTCAGAGTTTGCCGTGCAGTAATGGACACGTAAATAGACGTACCATTCATAATGTACAGCGCAAACAGGTAGTCCACATCCAAACATATCAACTACTTTCATAGGAAGATCCATCCCTGAAGAAGACTTGTGCAAGCAAACACCCAAATCTGCTGAACCTGCGAACAAAGAAAATTATGTAAAAAAATTTGCCAAATCTACTCGGCTATTATTTGCATAATCAATGTCCACATTTTTCCAAGGCTTTCATCTCATTAATACCTAATAACAACGGGTAGTCTTCGGCCTCTAACCACAGGCTCACAATTCGCACATTCTTTAACGTCAGTCTACTAATCTCTTCCATGTACTTATCCCGCAGAGGCCCCTTCCCAGTAATTACAAACAGCAACTTGGGAAAAGTCTCCTTCTTTCCCGCTGACTGTTCAGCTGCTTCATCATATCTCTTTGCAGCGTCAATCAGTATCGAAAAGTCTTCATCTGCCGTCCAGCTTGTGCTGCTTACAATCAATATTGGCCTGTCGATGCGATAACGGTACGATGGTGCATCAGAAGAAGTAGCGACAACTTCGGTAGTCAAAAGAGTTGTATTAGGCGAGGATGGTGGCAGGAAAGATGAGGAGCCGGTTGATTGACTGGTTATAGTTTCTTCAATATTAATACGTTTCAGAAACTTGTTTGGTATAATAGAAGAATATATATAAGTAAGACAGCGACAACATTATTAGAATATCATTAGAACATGAGATCGATCATTTGCATGTAAAACCTTGTGTATTTCTTCTATTTCCAATCTCCGAAAATGTGTCGGTGGCCGGTCGTATAATGTACGAATAATGCCTCTTTCATAAATAAAAATACGCGAGCATGAGCCATCTCTACTTTTTTTTTTTTCATTACGCGTACGTATACCAGTAATACTTACTCTACTTCCCATTTATAGAGCAATTCTCTGTGCATTGCAGAAGACACAGCCAGATGCGCATGAGCTCGCCGTCCGAAGAAGTTCTCATACCTACGGAAGTATGACCGTACATATAATATCATAGTCAATTACGTGAATGTTCATGCCATTCATTGTCAGATCAATGACGTTCTATTCGTTACCATTTAGCAAATTTAACCACTCGACTATTCTGTCCTAATCGCATGGCCAAGATTGTATATCCAAAGTTATGCCAATCTATTATGAGATTGGTTTGTCGGAGCCAACATACAAACTGCACAATCGACAGCGTTGGAATGGCAGGCGGATTCTACGAGGAGAGTATGGATTACATTTTAGAGTCAAACTATACCGGTATCTGATAACACACAACGCTGGATATTATTGGTGGTTACCTGAAGAAGAACGAAATCAGGCGATTTTATGCGGAAGAGTAGGGTCCAATATAAAATTGCCAGTTGGTAATATACTTTGAAAGCTGCAAATACAAGATATAACGCTTTTGGAAGGGATGCGGGAAGTTTCCATGGGTGAGATATATAATGAAGCTTTATAGATGGATGTTCTATAATAGAATTCAATGGCTTGGCACCTAAAAGGGGAACGACATGAACAATTGTTAAAATTTTCGAGATTTATATATCGCATAATCGAATCGTTCAAATCGCCAATACAAAAAGTCATCCTAATTACCATCATAACCAACAAAATCAACCCAACACTCATTTCTAGCAAAATTCAGAGCATGGTGTTGCATTCTCGGTGACCTGCCAATATCGCCCAATACCACCAGTGTAATGTTCGGTGCTCTTGGCTGTGCATTTGCATCTTGACGGTAGCTAACATACAAAGTAAGACCACGAATAAATACTAATACGAACGCAAATATAGCAAGTAATGTTGTTTCTGATATGGGTAAATCAGTCATTTGGAAAGCAAGGGAGATAGGAGTATTTTTCCATGTTGGGATTATGATAAGATGTTCATGATAGGAGATAAAATTTTCAGAGATCATGTGTCTGTTCCTTTATGAATGGATAATAAATCGAAAAACACAATTTCAACTTCCACAATGCCATCATCAACAAGTAACAACTCTACTAGCACAACTTCCTCTCCTTCACTTAATTTTCCTCGAATTACTGAGCAACATATAAGAAACTGTTCCTTCTCTTCCTGGTATGAAAACTTCAAGAGAGTTACGTTAAAGTCAAAGATAATAAAACCATTGCCGGAAGAATTTATTAAATATTTACATGCGGATAGTGTCTATTTACCAGATAGAAAGTATGTGGGACTAGCAAATTCATAAACAAGAGGCGTGATTATTTGACTAATTGTTGTAATTGTGAAAGTTATTTGGAGGGTATTCATGCTGGAGAGATAAGCAGTGATGAGGAATATGGTTATGAATCACCTTTTAAGCAAGCTGGGCAGAATGGAGAAGAACAAGAGGACGATAAGAAAGAAGGAGAAGGAGAAGGGGAGGTTGTTATTAAATATTTATACATTGCGTAGTAAAGCAGATGATGAAATCGCGCTTAGATTTTAATGAATATACGGTAAAATTTCAAGTTTCCAGCATTATGTTGATTTTTTAAATCGACAAGAAAAGTTGCTTTGCAAGATAATTGACTAATATTCTTAAGACGTTTGTTATTAGTTATTTAAACGAACACATAAATTTGCAAGTTGAAATCGACATGAATGCTAGAAACGTGAAGATTACCGTACATTCATTAGAAAGTAAACAACACTTCCTATTTATAAAACAAGTGTATAGATGGGCGGCGTCTTGATGCTGGCGTTATTTGTCAACGATCTCATTTAATGACTGTATCATAACACTTTAAGGACATGGTTTCAAGCTTTCCAGGATTAGAAAAAGAAATCTGGGATATAGTGAATGAGTTTGGTGGTGCAGTATTTCCAAAACTTAACTGGAGCTCCCCAAAGGTACACCGTCCTTGTCGTATTTCCAATTCCTTTTTGTGCGCTTAGCACCAATCATTTAACGCGTTCATCACATTCCTCTCAGGATGCGACCTGGATCTCAACGACCAATACACTAAAGTGTAATTCTCCATCCGACATTTTTCTTCTATTAAAGTCGTCAGACTTTATCGCACATGATCTTGATCATGCTTTCGAAGAGTGTTATTATGAGAGTGAGGACGTTTCTAGGAAACTACCTTCTGACGAATTTGAATTAGTACTCCGGAAATGGTACGATGTGGCTCCGTCAATGGAGTTTAGATGTTTCGTAAAGGATAATGAGATTGTTGGTACGTATCTAAACAGCCGAGAAACAAGTTAGTGATTGGTGTTTTTAAATGTTGTACTTTTTTGACACTTTTGCTTTTTATTGACGGAAAGGCATTTCACAGAGGGATGTTAATTTTTATGCCTTTTTGCAAGAGATTGAAGACGAATTGGAAACAAGCATCATCAACTTTTTCGAATCCAAGATTAAAGAAAGATTTCCTGATAGTGATTGTAAGTTATTATTCTCCCATATGTTAAAGTTAATGTTTCAAAAATTTCTCAACGTATTTTGCCTTTTGATATACAGATGTAATTGATGTGTACATAACCAGGAATAGGGAACGTGTGTGGTTGATAGACTTTAATCCATTTGGCCCAATGACAGATTCTCTGCTCTATAGTTGGGAAGAGATCTTAACTCGTCCCTCATCTCCTAAGCTCCGTCTCGTTATTAGCCAAGCAGAAGCGAGTCAGTCACAAAATGTGGCCTATTCTGTCAACAGATATCCACGCGAAATGTTTGATTTCTCACAGGGACAGACAGTTGCTGAGTTTGCTGAAAGCTTCCAAAATGCGCTGGCTGTTTCTGGAAGAGGTAACGATGAAGAAAGTGAAAATGAATGAAATGAAATTAGAGCCAAAACTAGCATGACATTTGAATGAATTCAGTTTGATTAATAATAGACTGAAGTGATAATGCAATGTTTGTACATTTATTAGAAAATAAACTCAAAGCGAAATGAATGGATAATTTTGTTACACATTAGTCATTGAAGTCCTGTGGACTCACACAGATGAGTTTTAATTATGCTCTTCAAGATGTATTAATTTTGGGCCTGAATAGCAAGGCGTATATAGCATATGCTTAGCTCTATTCTTGACAATGTTCGTTTTATATGTCTTGACCATATAAAAATGTCATGCGTTAATGAATTTACTACGACGCATTAGCAAGCCCAATATTGATAGTTTAAATTTCATGTTTCTAATCAGTTAAAATGAGTTGCATGATTTGGACTTCCTCGCCATCGTCTATTCTCTTAATATTAAACAAGGATAAAAATAAAATAAAATTTTTTTCAACACAACTCACCAATTACACCCATCTATCGTCAATTAAGAATTGTCATTATCTTTAACAACTCCCACTTGTGCTGGCCTAATTATTCTCCCATTCAATATGTATCCAACTTTCTCAACAGCAAAAACAGTCCCCGCTTCTTTATCCGGCACTGCAATTTGGAATATCGCTTCATGCTTGTTGGGGTCAAATTTCTCTCCCAGAGGATTCATCCTCTCTACTCCAAATCTTTTTAGCGTGTTCAAAAGATCTGATTCAGTCAACGATACGCCCGTGTATAGATTATGCAAGTGCGGATTCTTTTCTTGAGCATCTTTGCGAGCGTCATCGGGTACAGATTTTAACGCAAGATTTAAAACATCGACTGTGTTGACAAGATCTTTGGCAAACTTTTGAATAGCAAATTGAGCTGTATGTTCGATTTCTCTTCGAGTGCGTTCGCGAAGGTTTTCCATTTCTGCTAGTGCACGGAGATAGTGATCCTATATTTTTTTTAAAAAAAAAAAAAAAAAAGTTAGAGCCGCACGTGAGAGTATAACATAGTAATCGATTATATTGTATGCTGTTGTTATGAGCCTAATTGACAATTTATTCGAATGCCCAACAATTTAGCATCATGCGTCATCGAACGAACCTTTAATTCAGCTATCTGCTTATCTCTTGGATCGGGTCCTTCTCCCAGATCTGCTCTTGTTCCTTGAGGTACACCGGTTTCCGCGGCAAGTGAATCATTAGCTTCTTCATTGTCTTTTTTTGATTCATTCTTTTCATTGGATTTGTTCGCTGTCGTTTCATTTAACTGATTGTACTTCCTAGACGTTGAATGGAACAATGATCGTTGCTGGAGAAGAGAGGGGCGTAACGGAGTGCTGGAGATAAGAGAAGAACGGATCAGAATGCGAAGAGGGCGAAGTGAATGTAACGCCTTCTGACAGGACATATTGGATGTGGGCGTGGCGAGATGTTGATCAGAAAATTTTTTTGAAATTCGAGCCTTTAATCAGTGATTGGTGACACAATTTGGTGACACACCATCTAAAACTAGTACTAATTTGGAGTTTTAACATTCGGGTTACGCGACGGCATTTCTGCTATTACTATCCTTATTTTTTTTCCTTGAATAAACAATGTCTGAGCAACCCGATAATGCGGGAATACGAAACACTGCTATAGCCGAAGGCTTATTCGAACATTTCAATTATACGCCTATATCGTTTATAGATGATGTAATAAATACAATAAACGAACTGATTTATCAGGCAGCTGACGCATTGAGCGAATTTGTCAAGGATGAATCAAGCGAATTGTCTATTCCTTTCGAGGATGTCGAGCAAGTATGAAATGCGATTTCCAACGTTCGCATTACGTGTAGAATAGTATTGGGGCAGGTTATTTATCAGCGACTGTTGATTGCGTTTCTGTAGAAACACTATTCATAATAATGACCAATACGCTTTGGAAAATGATTACTGTCACTAGGGCCTTCATCAATTCGAAACACTTCTTGAAGCAGCGGTAGACCATAATTTTGATTTGTTCGAAGTGTACTCTTTACGAAACCTGTTCACCGTTCCGGCCGATATTCCAGTAGTATTGTCCCATCACCAAGTAAGATATTGGTATTGCAATTATAACACATGCGGCGTGTGTCTACGGAGCATTTAACATGGTTTTCCTCATATCAAAGGGTATAAATTTAGATGTGACTAAAAGCGATGAAGTACAACTGGATAGGGAGTTGGAAAAAATACGGAAAAATTTATTGGCGGTAAGTTAAACTCGAAGGGAGTAGTCGGAAAAGGGGCGGATATCCATCAGAGTCGGATTATCATCTTGACAATTATTATTATTATTGTAAGGCCAAAGCAATGAGCATCAAATTGAGAAGGGAAATAGCAAAGACAGACATTCGCATACGTAAATGTGAGAATTATAAAAACGAATTCTACTATCTCTCATCACTTGGGAAAGAGCACAATGGTATTTATCGTTCGATTCCTACTATACTCTATATCGCTTTACTAATTATTGTAAAAAGCCCAACTATTTAACCTCTGCTTGAAAATCATCTCTGGGCGCGTATCGTTTTACTTTTTTCTTTCAGTCTTACCACTTCCCGAAGCTCTGCGCGTGCTCCAGAACCACCTACAAACGATCAAAAACATATATAGTCCTCTCGAAACCAAGTACCCACTTTCTTCTCTTCCCACTCTTCCGCCGTCTTCATCATTTGACTCGCGCATGGAATACTTGAGTTTTATTGCTCAGAAACAGACTGAGAACATTTGGGGAAAGGGGGGGGGGAGAGTGCGGAACGCGAGAATATGAGGAGAACGATGACGATGAAGTTGGCTATTGGTATAAGCTTTTGGTTCCAATGTTGGAAGAGGAGAATATTGAATGTAAATAAAAATTATATTATTTTGATTTTTCTTACACGGACTTTTTGGAAATAAAATCATATTAGAAAATGGAAATATTATTTTACTGTATATTATTTATTTCTTTGATTATCTGTTCAAGTTTCTCTTTATCAGCAGCAGCTCTGCGAGACATAACTATTATGTATTCTAACAACTACAAATGCTTGCAGGATGCCCGCATAACAGAATTGCTAATAAATAAGAGATGAATCTATAAACTAACCAGAAGTCTATCCATAACTTGCGTGATTTTCAGAATCAGACCAACGAGCACGCCTACACAGTAATAGTATTGTTCTCATGATTCCCTAAAAAATATACTATTGCAAGACCGTGATATCAACAGTTATTAATCTACAAATTCTTACACTACACTATAACTGTACTGACATATTGCTGACATCGATAATCCTACTAATATAGCTGTCACGTTGAAAAGTTGCGGCAATTTCTGAAGAATCTCTCTCTTTCCACTCTCAACAACTCTGCCGTCTCGAATTGCTCAAAAATCTCATCGCTGAACGTAGGTAGAACCTTATCATTAACGTAAGTAATTCATTGTGCACTTCTTCCGATGTTGGCCTCTCTTCAGGTTTAACTGCCCAACAACGTGTCATGAGAAAGGCTGAATTCTTTATTGGTGGGAAGCCCCAAAATGTCCGTCTCGTATAAAACCAATATACTAAAAGAAGAGATAAACGAGAGGACAAAGTCCAAAGTCATCGAGGGGGGAATTTGTTTTTAAAGATCTTTGCAAGAAACTAAGAAAATAGTTTAAGCGAGACAAAATATACCATGAAAATATTAATAATATCAACATAGTGCCTTCCACAGGTTTGGGTCTCAAATTTTCAACAATATTCTCAACATCAATTCATCCTTGTCGCGTTCAGGAAAGGCTGGTAGTCCCGAAGAAAATTCCCACATGACTATGCCAAAGGCATATGTGTCGGATGCTGCTGACTTTGGTTGGCCTCGGAGTACTTCTGGTGTCATATATTGTATCACCCAACAACTTATCCTCTTTGTCATTAGAAGGACCAGACAGCCCAAAATCAGAAATGCACAATTCGTAATTCTGATGCTCGTCATAAGTCCACAATATATTTCCCTGTGAAAATCTTTGTGGACAAAACCTGCTTATGAATATTTTGTAAATCCCTCATCACTGATGCCAGTTGCTCTAATCTATCACTTCATGGCGGATTTTCTTTCAATAGTTGTCTGAGGTCACCTCCTGACATGAACCGCATGACCAGTATGATCTGATCAGTCTTGGGATTTACTGGAAATCAGAACAATCGATTGTCATGTATTCACAGTCGAGGCCTGTTTGAAAAAATTATTATAGCATAACATTAATCTTCTTCTTTTTTTAGAAAAAAACAACAATTCTCCATTAACTTACCTCATTTAAAAATTCTGTCGAAAGCCTTGTAGTCCCTCCACGCTTATAATATCTAATGGAATCGCTGTTCCCAAGTAGCATTATAGACTATAGCAAATCCTCCCTTGGCTACGTACTCTACGTCTGTGAAATTTTCATTCCAGTATCTTCGGCTTCTTCTTGTGATTTCAAAATGAACTCGTCGATTTCAGGTCTTCCACTTGTCCAGGTTGATGCTGCTTGCTTAACAACTTCCTGGAAACAGTGCTTACAAGTAATATGTGCGGAAGCCAAATCAGCTCCACACGGAGAGCAATGATGCGCTTTCCTGCAGTTATAATTTTAAAACCAATATTCGGAATCGTGGGAGTGGGATGAGATCAGGATCAGGATGTCACACCAATTGAAACCAGTAGAGTACACTCTTTATTACAGCCGTATTTTCTGATTAATGCATTATACTTAATATTAACAAGACATTCGAGTGAATCATAGTAAGCTTAGATTTCTATTACTTAGAATAATTAGATTAAGTATGCTCAATAAATATTTATTTCAGCATAATAGTCTTATTAGGAAGGGAAGGCTCGTATATTTTGAAAAGAAGTTTTTGTCCCAAAGAATCGACTTTTTTGTAAGCACGTATTTATTTTTACTATGCGAGAAGTGGATCGTCAAAGTGATTCGATCGAGGGTAAAACTCGGACCCAACGAATAGGTTATGTTGAATTTGATATTAATATTAAAGTCTAGTTGACATAGTCTATTCGCAATAATAACACAATCTTGCCGTTGTAATTACTTGTTGTTTCTGCAATAATAATGGAGATATTTAGAACAAACGATGAAATAATAGTTCAATTCAGATTATAAACAATGCTTATTTTCTCTACAAATTAATTGATAATCTTTTTTTTTTCGATAATAAAGATTCAATAAATTCACGCCAGCTGATCAAACTTTCTATAGAACGTGCGCTTTTTATTTCCGGTACAATGTAACTCCAGATACAACACGGAGCTCGGTAAAGTTACTTGTGTGACATTTATGTGACATAAATAAATTAGCCCAATTAAGGCTATCGTCTTTTCAGGTTAAATCACGCGTCGGTGTCGGTATTTTCAATATTTGGATCGTTCGAGTAACATCTACATAATTTTACGTTGTGACACATGAAATTTCTCTGGAGACTGTTTTCTACGCCAGAAAAATACTCGTACAGAAGTTAGCAAAATTGTGCAATTGAATGCATGACAAAATCTCATTGTAGAATGCTTAAGCCGACCGCAAACAAATCAGCGGAAATTTTGCTGCTGAAAATTCGAACCAACAGCAGTGACTATAGGTCATACCTAATGCTTTTATACCAGCTGCGAGTGTCATTGTTGTTGTAGCTGCTTAAAACTCTTAAAATATAAAATTTAAAAATACTCAATTTCCGCATAATACTAAATTCTAACAAAATTAAACTTCCCTTGTCAAGCTCTATTTGGTGCGGCTAATTGTAAGGACATTACTATGCCTTTGTAGCGTGATAATAAAGAAACACACCATCGGCGTCGGCACGAAAACGTCGCCGTTCGAATGATAAAAAAGGTAATCGAAAGATAACTAAAATCGGAAATTTTCAAAGTTGTTACGCGTCTGGCTGTCATACTGTATAAATTGTGACGCTGTGATCTGCAAGAATTCTGGAGCAACGTTAGTATTAAGGATCAGATTCACCTTTTATTTTTCTGCGTTTAGGTTAGACAGTTGGTTGTGTAACATGTCCACGATAGAGATCACCGCCCGTATATTAATTATATCTGTATCCGTTACCATGCTGCTTCTGCAACCCACGAGGTTCCTCATAATAATAATTTTCTTGGCGACGGGTGCCTTTAAAACAACATGAATCCGGACGAGACAATATTGCCTCACAATAAAATTCTGGACATTGGAGGGAACGACATGGTTCCCAAGAATGTTTCAACTGTAGAGTTGTCTTTGACTCCAACACAATCTCTCGTCCCAACTGCGTTCCAAAAGTCAAGTCAGTTGTCCGCAACTGAATTATTCACCTCTTCAACTTTGTTTGTTGATTCCCTCATGACGGACGCAACATCAGATCAGGTGTTGGCTGAGTTGGCCGTCGAACCCAAGCCCGTGGAAGTGAAAATAGACAAATTCGTGGAAGATGATACCCAACCTCAACGCTTTGAAGAAATATCTTTAGAAGACGACTCACATCGATCTCGAACTCCAGTATCCGACTCGGAAAGGAAGGATAAGAGAAAGCCTAAACCTTTCACGATTATAGTCAGTAAGGCTTCGCCTACATCATCTGCTCTTTCTTCTCCGTCTTCGTTGTCATTGAAAGTTTCAAACGAAGATTTGTCGTCGGAAGGCGAGGAGGATGCTTATGGAAATCAGTTGAATGGACAATCTTCTGGGCCTTTCTATTGTGTTCCCATAACACCAGCCGTGTCCCAGAAGAATCTTGCTGATACTACCAAAGCGCAAAGATCGTCGTCCGACGACAGCATGTTGCAAAGTCGCAATCAAGGGCTACCTACTGGGACTCGTTCGAGGTCTTTGACAATGCTGGATTCGTCGCGTCCAGATCATGAACACGAAATGACGCGAACGAATAGTCATAGCAGGTTAAAATTAATGATTATCTTAGCTGTAAATAATTCTTAATAGTGAGGTTGAAGTGGTGTTCACTGATTAATTTCTGACAAATGGGAATTAGATTTTTCTTATGGAGTACGACCAACGTTCATCCACTAGATCTTTACATATCAAAAACTAGACCAAGGTATGGTATGTAACAAGCCGTTCTTTCGAATTTTGCTTTTCAACTTTTTATTCATTGTTCGTTTTTCAGAGACTTGCCACCGAAATCACCAGAAGAAGATGTAAGGATTATTTACACAACTCGTTTACGTTTGATGTCTAAGACTGGCAGCTAAAATCTACTTATTCACTTTATAGAAAAAACATCTAAGAGAACACGAAATCATGATGCGAAAGGCACAACGAGCTGGTATGTTTGGTAACCGAATGTCATCGTTCAGCATTATCTCGGAAACTAATTAACAAATATTGTGATAGCGGCTAAGAAGGCCAGAAATGAGCAAAAAAAGAAAGAACAGCGTGATAAACAGTACAGAACCGAATTAAACATATGGGAAAATGAAATACTTCCTAATTGGCATCTTGCGTACGTATAATTTTTTATTAATAATTTACGTGACTATTGTATTGACCATTGTGTGGATTCGTGCAATAGACGGCATGAGAAGTCAACGCGGGAACTATGGTGGAAAGGACTTCCTCCTCGATGTAGAAGTAAGGTCTGTTGATCATATCGAATATGCAGCGTCCACCTTATATATACTTGAGAATGATAACCGATTCGTTTATGATCCTCAATGCAGGTTTGGGGTCTTTGCATTGGAAATGCATTGGCTATAACACAAGGTAGTTATGTCTCTTTATTCATAAACTTATTTAAATCTTAAAAAGCACTGGCTAATAATTTATTTTTTGTTATTTCATACTTTTTAGCAACCTACGATATGTGTCTGGATAGGTATTGAATATCGTCATGTTACTTTTGCTCTGTTCAGCCACAAATCAGACGCCTTTTCATGATTGAATTTTGCATATAATAGGGCATTTGAAGTCAAAAGCGAATCAACTGATGGTTTGGGATCGCCCACTCGCGTGGATTCAGCCAATAAAATGGCTGAAATATTTGAAAACATTGAGAAGGATGTGCTAACCACATTACCAGCACTTGGACTTTTCCAGGTTAGTAATATGGAGTGGTGGGTCGGGGCCGTGAATAGGAAGCAATGACAGATAGGTGACTTGATACAGTTGCATCAACTCTAATTGCATTATTTTTATAGGGAGAGAATCCATTGTGTGAGAGTCTAAGAAGTGTAATAGAAGCTTACGTCTTTTACTGGAAAGATCCTAAATATGTTGGTATTTTTATAATAAACTTGCGCATCAGTAATTTCCTACGAATTATTGTTAATAGGCCGCCATTTTTAGATATCTGGGATCAATAATATTGCCGCCATGTTTTTATTGAATATGGATGCGCTGTCATCTTTTGTTTACATGGTTAACCTTTCAAAGAGACCGTGCATCTCAGCGTTCTTTGGAATAGGCGAAAAGGTATGTTTTTGACAAGATTTAAAGTATGGACAATAATATATTATGTCTGCAACTAAAGATTTATCATGCCTGACAGATAAATTACTATCTCCGTGCCTTCTCGGCTTTATTTAAATCTTATAATCCCAAGGTAATGAAATTTAAAATTTATTGGTCGGTTTAGATGGAAATGGTTGATAATTGGCGGTACTCTTTTCAAGAGATGCACAATGTGTGATTCGTGAGTTTGCTTATTCATAACCAACTGACATAATTTTTCTTATTTTCAGCTATATGAACATTTCAAAACTCTCCAACTGTACCCATCACTGTTCTTGTCTCGTTGGTTTACTACCATGTTTACATGTTTCTTGCCTTTAGACATTGCCAGTCATATCTGGGATTGTTACTTTCTTCATGGGGAAGTTTTCTTGTTTAGAGCAGCCTTCGGAGTATTGTTTGCATTAGAACCGCAGTTATATGGTTCATTAGATGAGACTTTGAAAGTATTGACATCTGAACCATTAACGGGCGTGGGTATTGAAAAGGTGTTTGACTATATCGAGAAAGTTGAACTGAAAGAAGAGACCTACCAAAACCTAATAGTGAAAGAGATTTCTGGTAGTTGATATGTTGCAGCATTTTAACTTTGCTTAGATGAGATACAACTAATCCTGTAAATTACTCTGAGATAATTGTATATTGACTTCACCCACGAGTACACTAGACTCTTTAGTTATAATATTGCTGACCCATGCTTTTTATGGGATCAAATACTTCAATAATATAATTTTTTTATTATCCACTTTAATTGATCTCGTGGTTCTTCCACGTAATTATGTTCCATTTTCAGATTTAGAAGATTCATCTTGGATATTACTATAAATTGACGAATGTAACGTGTTTAGCTTATGCAAAATTTGGTTTGTACGAATCATCCTCATCCTCATCACTAGGGCCTGCGCCATACTTAACGCGCTCAGGCCTGCCACGATGAGGTACCCTGCCGAGCCTGGATAATGGCCATACGATATGCGTCACCTTTGCAGTTATCAGGCCAAGTGGAACCTGTCGCGTACAGTAAATGAAAAGGTTAGAAAATATTATCCGAGAATAACCAAGATGATTATCTACTTACTGGTCCATAAATATTGCTATCTTTGCTATGGAAATTCTCATCACCCTCGATCCAGCAATGTCCTTTAGGGATTCTCACAATCTCTTTGGGATGTGGTTTTAATGGGTAAACGTAGTCTCCTTCCACTGCAACTATCCTCTTGATAATTGTTCTGGTTGGATCAGTCGGCGACCTATGTGATATAAGCGTTGTTTATAAAATCAAAAAATGAATTCTACTAAATAAATTTTCATGTGTATATGTATCATACCATAAAGTTACCACATCTCCTCTTTGATATTGATGCCTTAAAGCCGCCAATCGGTTTAATAGAACAAGATCTCGGTTTAATTGGTTATTATCTGGATTGAGGGTGGGCTGTAACATTTGTCTTTTATTGTTAAGAATTTCTCTCTAAATATCGGACTGACAACTACGAATACCAAGGAGGAGGGAAAAGTCCACATACTTGCATCGACCTTCCCTCAACTAGTGCTACATCATAAAAATGTTCTAGTAAGAAAACGAATACTGGCAGCCATGAAACTTTGCTTATTAAAGAGCGAGTGGCCAAACTGCCAAAACCTCTATTCATGGTTCATCCCATGTTGAATATATCTTCGGAATTTATCTGATAGAAATTAATGGCTAATTACTAATTTTGGAAAATTCTTCACTCCCAAATAACAAATTAAAATCTTCTTAGTATTCATCATTGAATGCAATCAGAGATGCCGGTTGATTCGCGTTCGTTTACTAGTAAGAATGTCGGTTGAGCCAGACTCTTTACGGAAAATAGGACGAGGCACATTTATCTCAGGTAAAGGGATGCCGTGATGTGCAGAAATAGCTCCACACCAATTAGAAGCAAGTTTATCTGTATCATCCATTGCTTTCTAAACCATGTTAACAAACGAATGATTCGTAATTTCAGCCACAACTGGCGCACTCGTTGGGTCCGCTATTGCGCTTTTCAAACGTGGACCAGTGTTGAGTTATTCCCTGTCAACGAGTCTGAATTTTTCAATATTTGGGGCTTTATTCTTGAGTTAATCAGACTTTTTTTTTTTTCATTGGCTCGTCGTTTGCTTATGCCGCTCCTCAAGTCAAACTCATGCAAATATACTTGATCTGATAGGCATTCGAGAGACATTTCTCTTATCGCAAAGAAAGCATAATCCACAGCTTGGTTTAAATAAAAGTCAAACGCGCGATTACGATGAATTAATATCTAGTACATTGGCAGGCGGAATAACTGGTGGATTTCTGTCCAGTATCACGCGTAAGTAGGAACGATTTGTCAAAGTCTTTCTTTTCATTCACAGACGTAAATACTATTATGACTTCACTTTTCCAGGTGGACCAAAATATGCTTTACGTGGCACTATAGGCTTTTCGATCATCAGTGGGTGTGGCCAATCGTTATACACATTTCTCTATAGATATCGCCAAAAACTCATTCTCGAGAGCATGTCATCAGGCAATCCAACACAACCAGAGCCGGAACATCAAGTTGGTGGTACTATAGTTGATCGAATGTTTGATCAGTTAAGCCGATTGAAATGGACTCCCGTCAGAAAACTGAGCGACGAGGAATATGAGGCTTTGTTAAGGAAAAAGTTAGAGAACATCGATAAGGAATTAGAAAGATATGAAATAAAGGAGAAGGTGACAGTGAAGGGAGAGGACATTAGAGAATAGATGCGAATTGTGACAAAATTTAATGTCAAGCACATATGTACGGTAAATGTTGATGTCGTTTTTCGCGTTTGCTCCATCAATTATCGTCTTTGTAAATTACACTGTTGAAACTATAATAACACAACATCATTTTACTGCCAAGTCTTGTATAATTCGCAATTATTCAATTCCTTAATTTTCGTGAATTCAAACGCCTGCCATCTCCTAAAAGATTGTACGTAAATAACGTTAATACTCTCAAGTTTTATAAACAAAACATTCAGGGTCAACGTACCACATCCTGATGGGATGAGGACGAGGATTGCAAGAACTACAAAAATACAGAATGTATCAGTTTACTATATACATATCGAGGAGCGCTATAACAACTAAACATCGACTAATTACCTGTCTCGCTTCAATGATTGAAGTACTACTATCAACCGCTTCATCTGCGCTGATTAAGGAGATTTGTTCTTGAAGAATTTGATTCCAGAAATCTGTCCTTGGAGTTTCAGCATTTAAACAGATATCCCGTAGTTCACGAAGGAAATTATTGAATGTATCGGATTCGTTTTCCTGTATCAACATGGCTCGACATTAAAGATTGGACATTCTTGGCAACTTGAATCTTAACTAACACTACTTACTTTCGTACAAGCATCTCGCAATACTTTAATACAGTTTAATGCCAACGCATGTTTCTCCGAATCGTCCCCAGAGATAAACTCTTTGATGACGGCACACATCTGTTCCACGGCTATTAATAAAGGGAGATTTATGAACCAGCTTCACTTTACGTCAAACCACCGATTTACATACTTTACCTGTAGTTACTAAATCTTCGGCCCTATAACCAATCATTGCCTGGAAATCCCTTATCGGATCTTCCCTTCCTACAGTAATCGAACTACTGCCTGACCCTTCCTCCCGCCGCGTTCGTTTGGACGGCTCTTCACTTGCAAGGGCAAAGAGTTCATCAATATCGACTTCCTCCTCCTCTACTTCCTCGCTGCGATCTCGTCTACTTCTTTTTTGTTTCTCCTCACCTGGATTGTGAACACGAAACCCATGCCTCTATATAAGCATCTTCAAAAGGTATAAAAGCTGTCGACATCTACTTACTTTTCGTTATATCACACAGTTCGGCTAGTTCATCTGCTAGAGATTGATTTCTACTAATCATGTCCGGTAATGGTTTTAGAAAAGAGAGTAACGATTCGTCTGGAGGGGGCAATTCAGCACCCGGGTTTAATGCCCTATGGGTGACTGCTCTTTTGATTAAAACAGCTGTCGGCTTGAATTGCTTTTTCCGTAGATATTCCGTCGGTTCACTGAATGTCAAAATTCACGTCAGTTAGAGGTCTGATTAGAAAAAATTCCTTTTCGAGACAACTCGTTGAACTTGCCCATCTTCATCAGGAACATTCATAAGATCCATCTGCTCTATAAACTGCCGCATCTTCTCAGACAATTCGGGTGAGGGAAGTAAGGGGTGATCAGATCTAATTTCGCCCTTTTGACTCTGTACTCGATCGAGTGGAGGAAATTCGTAATAACGAAGGTCTTCATTAAACGGCAGCTGTAAGTAAATATGTCTCATGAGTCATCAGAGTATAGAATTGGTAATCCCAAGAAGGTAAAGATGAAGCTACCATGTAACCGTATATCAGTTCTCTTTCGGCTGTAATATGTGGGATTAATCCAAGCATTACCGGCGGGCCGCGAATCCTCTTGACAAATCTAGCCAGTCCTATTAAATTCTTTTCGTACATGGCGTGTGCAAGTGCAGAGAATCCAAGTGCTGATGCGTGATCATCTTTCTGAGGGACTATCGACAGCGTTTCATCCATAAACAAGTCTTTGTTTATCTATTCGCGCATTTCAAAAAAATAACGTTAGCAATACGCAGATACTCTTATATCAGCGCTGGCGACGATTTATAGCCCCACCTCAGCAACTCTAACAAATCCAAGAATGTCTAAAGCCATATGCGTGTCTAGCTTAAATTGCTCTTCATCAAAATTCTGAGCTGGTACCAACGTCGCTCCATAAGGATATGCTTTCATCAAATCTTCCTTGTCAACCTGAACTTCCACATCGTTTTCATCGTCCCACACACTATACGAGTAAGTTCGCAGAACCTCGTGCGTTTTCTGTCTGTCATCTTGTGCATTTTCAGCCAATACAGACCATTTCTTGAATGACGGGAGACTGGCTTTCTTTGTGCGAGCGTACATCATTACATTAACACCCAAAGCCGAATCGCCATACTCGTTTTTATTACCAATGGTGAGAGCTCCGCGAAATAATGGAGTTGGGCGGACTGGACGCACATACGGTTGGGAAATTTCCTCCAAGGCGCTGTCCATCGGGGTGATATAACTGCTTCCAGGAGCTCGACTGACGAGATCACGGAACAAATCTTCGTTTGCAAGCTATATCGATCGTTAATTAAACTATTAGTATTAGAGATGGTAAAAGCTAATCCGAGCTTTTGACATACTTTTGTCAGTGATTTGCTTGGATCGTTTGTATCCTCATCAGGATCACTAAATCCGACACCTCTTTTTGACAAAGAATTAATTATTGTTAGACGTTCCTGAAGGTTTGTAGTCACGTTAATCATATCTTATGCAAAGAAAGACATACTAACAGAACAAAAATCTCAATTCCATTATTTCTTAGTTCATCAACTATTTGCTGTAGTCGTGTGCTGGACATTGGAGATTCTCCATCCGTCATGAGAAAAATTTTTTTCTCGTACTTTAGATGTCTGCAATGTGTTCTAATTATCTCGATCGCTGCAGATACTCCATCAAGACCTATAAAAACCAATACATTCAAAATCAGTAAAAAGTTCAGCAACTAGTTCGAAACATATACGTATAAAAACATACAATTCCCAGGCGTGTTTCCTTGCGGAAGTTGATGCTGCACTGTGCGGAGTAGATCCAATGTCGGCATTTCCAACCCAGTTATGACTTTGATATGTTCATAATCCTCATCAAAGTCTTCAATCGGCCCGTAATCAGTGTCTAGAGTAACAACATGCGGGTTACGAAAAGTTTCTCCTGTTCGACGGCTTCCCAGGTTGACCTATCAACGGTAAACTTACCATCTGTCCCAACAGCTAAAACTGATGTGATATCTGTTTTAGCATTCGCTAATAGCTACGGCAAAGATTTATCCACAGTAGAATTAATGTTAATCCACGAAAACAATGCAACCGATCTGTAGAAAATGTATCAAGTAGATGAATTACTTTCACATCAAGCAATCCGACAACAGCCTTCTTTGCTGATTCAATTGGAGGCGATTCATCAGCGGTCGGCGCTTGCCACATTGACGGTGAGACATCAATGACATAGGCTGTAGCTTTTTTTGACTAATGGATTCAAAACTTTGTTATATGCATCGCAAATTATCTATCTTGTTAATGTCAAAGGCTAGTAGTTCTTTACACACCATAGTATTCTGGAAAATTCGGCGCGAGAAATCAAGTTATGTTCCAAAAACCTAACCGCGTATATATCATATTTATCTCCAAAACATAACTGCGGCTTAATTTCTTTAATGTCGAATGGCGTAGCCGGAATTGTCTAAAAAGCACAGACGTTTACTATATCGAGAAGCTACAGGTCTTAGTCATGTGTTCACAGTTTCAAAAACTCGATAAATAAAGTCACTAATGCTCTCATATAAATAAATAAATTTTTATAATGAACCTCGACAAACTGTAATAGTAATATTCTCACGCTTTTTTTGACAAATTAAAATTGTCGTACAGGCAAATTTCCTAGTAATAAGTAAGATAATAATAATAACTCTACACGAGGTTTTCAGCGTCATTCCCCAAAATCAAAAGACAACACCCAACGAATTCGAATTGTTAAAGATGCAATAAACTCTTATACTTTTCGTACAAGACATATCACTGTCACAAAGTTACAAAATAATGTATTTCAACCATTGCTACTTACATAGTAGGGATGGTTGTAAATGTTCATAATAATAACTACATTACAGTCATCCCTCGTTTATATCCCCACTTTGGAGCGGGGATATTAATTGAGTAACACAAGAAATTTATTGGTTAATAAATTCTGACTCGTACCCCATATACAGTAAATCGGGTTGAAGGTCCTTCTTAAAAGGATATAGGGAAAAGGTTCATTGAATTTCCGTTTGGCGTTACATCATGAATACATACGTAAGAAAGCAAATTTGTTGATTTGCCGAAAATCTGAGCCTTGTATATCATAATCATGAATAGTTCTCTTCTTTATCTGCTAATTGTTTCTTTAACTTTGCGTTTCTTCTAATAATTCTTTATTTCTCTGTTTGAGTTCTGTTATTATTATGTCTACCATGCTCTTCTTTTTTATTTTATTTATTCTGTCTGTATACTTATTTTTATGAGGGTATATAAAGTATATAATTATTTTAAGCTTTAAAAATTAAAAACGGGAAAAGTTAATGAGATTTATTGAAAAATTAGACGGAGAACTTAATGATGGCAAGGGAATTAATGGGCATTGAAATAACGGAGAGGAAATATTTTATTTGTTGCCAGTATACTGTAGGTTGGTTTTGAACAAGTAATATCCTTGAAATCCCTAACAAATGGGCCAGAAACGCTTGCTTTTCTGGTTTTTAACAAATTAAATTCGGTAAAAGAACCATTAGCAACCAGCTGGGCTTTGATAATACCAGGTTTAGCTGCTTCAAATACAAAATGTTGATATTTTTGCAAACCATTTAATTTTTTCCCAACGCGGAATTAAGATCTAAGTATTGAAAACAATTTCCATTGTCATAGCGCTGAGCTATAGATGAAGTACATTATGCGTTACAATGATAACTTCAAGTAAAACGTTTGTCTCACATTTTGATACCATATTAATGTTCTGACCCGTAGATACTAATCCTAGACGATTATTCGCCCTAGAGTTAAATTTTTTCACAACCTCAACAATATGATCCACACAATCTACTATTGTTTTTCTTAATCAGTCCATCACACCTGAATTTAGTATTTCCAGGTACCATGAAATTTAATTCGATACTTTCATAATAACCGCAAATCACTAAATATAAGTAAAATCAAATGGTAGCATTACTTTTATTGGGAGGCATTTATTTCATCGACAATCATTTCATCGACAGTACACTTCACCGACAGTCATTTCACGTGACAC